ATTCAGAAGTGTTTGTCTTAACTTGTACAAACAATGTATATACAGAAAGGTTGATTCTCCAAACAACTTACAATTTTACTTGCCTGTTTTTGGAAAGTGTTGAATAAAAAATAACTTGTTTGTACATCCTTCAAATCTGTGAGTCTTGATGCAGGCTTAGTGTCATATATATAATGTTAAAGTAACATTCTGATTGAAAACATCAGTCATCTTTATAAAAGTTCAAATAATCTCTCTATATTTTAAATTTTATACATCAATTCCATTACACTGATACAAAAAGTTTGAACATTGAACAAAGTGGTGACATTCTTATTAATGAATACTTTGTTTACTTTGAATACACGAGCATTCATAGTGACGACGTTTGTGGATTGACTGACGAGTGTTCGTAAACTTGGGAAGGTCCATTCATGGTTTGTCAAGTTCTAGTTGGTTAAGAAATGCTAAGATCAATTTATGTAGAGTCTAACTTTTAATGGCTGTATTTATTTTAAGGGACACGTGGGCTATCTAGCAGACACTTTTTATGAGCCCGGCAGCATTTTGGGGGAGCATTGGCTCCTGGACCTCTGCTAATTTCGAGCCCTGCATACTTTCATCTATATAAACATTAACTTCTTCAGAGAATGTTAAAAGTTTATTATCTCATAATGAAACCATGCTGACTATTCAATCAAAACTTTAAACTTTACAAAGCATCTTTTATCCAACTTTTAAAAAGTATTTTCTACATCTAACAGACCTATAATTAGTGGAACAATTCTAATCACCTCCCTTGAAAATAGGAGTTACATTAGCCAACTTCCAATCTTGTGGCACCTGCCCACTCTTCAAGGACTTACAAAAAATAATAGCAAGTGGCTCACATATCAAATCCTTAACCTCTTTCAAAACCCTTGGGTAAATATTATCTGGCCTAGGTACTGTATCATTCTTTAAACTTAGCAAACTCAGAATTAACGTGATCGTCTGTTACTGTCTTGTTTCCATCTATCAGTTGTACAGAGTGAGGAACAGCGCCTAAATGGTCATTAGTAAAAACTTAAAAGGTATTAATTTAATAAGCCAGCCAGCCAAGAATCATCAGATATTAACCTTTTGGTATCATCTCTAAAAATCCCTATTCCCATCCTAACATTCTGCTTACCTTTAATGTATTATCTCTTCAACATTTGCTATTTTAATATTTGGAACCTTGTATATTAAATTTCTCTCATCAGAATTGTCCACATTTATCCAGCTTTCAGTTGTTCCCATTATATAAAAATATCACCAGTGATCTAACACTAATTCGTGTTATTTATTATAGTATTTCAATAACAACAGTAAACCTACCTTTTTACCTTGTTCCTACACTATACCTCTACATCTTATAGTTTAAAGCCAGTCTCTACCTTATTTATATATAAGCCATCCATTCCAAAATGTTTACAGATTATCAGTAAACATTACAAGACTTTACTCAAAATATTATATTCTTTAATTAAAGATTTGCTCGTTCATTTTTTCTTTTCAAATGTTGACTGTCCAACGTGCAAAGTAATTTTGATTTTAAGATTAAAAATACTTTTATGCATCAGAAAATTATCAAATTTCTAAAACTTCCTAATAACTATCAAATATTTTTTTTTTCAAAAAGCTTTACATCTTATCCGTTATTTTCTTTATTTAGATCTATATGGATCTGGTCAAATTGACCAACCTTGTAACCACCATTAAAAATTAGGAAATAAATCTAAATTACATTTTACAAATTACAACACGAAAACATAAACGTTTATTCTAAATCGCTTAAATTTCGTAACATTATACATCAACTTCTATTTATTGTTGTTATCGACCTTTCAGCCGTGTCTGACTAACAACAGTGTCACACAAGTTGCATGTGCACATCATGTTACCTTATCCAGTAGCATAAAACTGGCCTTTACAAAATAACCTGTCTTAGCTTTGTTCTAGTGGACTAGTATTTTGTAAAATACAGTCACATTTCTGTTATAAATTCGTATCTATTTTATTTCTCTTTGAACCATATCTGTAGATCTGTATTGGAAGTGTTACTGATGTTTTAACTTGTATTAACAGTGAATGTAGAATAAACCCACTGAATGTAAAGTATAGAATCATCTTTAGACTATAGATCTGTATTGGAAGTGTTACTGATGTTTTAACTTATATTAACAGTGAACGTAGAATAAACCCACTGAATCTAAAGTACAGAATCATCTTTAGACTATAGATCTGTATTGGAAGTGTTACTGATGTTTTAACTTGTATTAACAATGAACATAGAATGAACCCACTGAATCTAAAGTACAGAATCATCTTTAGACTATAGATCTGTATTGGAAGTGTTACTGATGTTTTAACTTGTATTAACAGTGAATGTAGAATGAATCCAC